GTATGTGTACCTATTGAAGACACTTGTTCCATCCTCGTCGCGCTTTCTGCTTTGCCCGCCATTTTACGTACAACCTCCATCAAATACGACATGAGTCGATTTTTCTTTATTAAACGTAGTATATATTATTCCTGTAAAGAAAGAAATACACTACTATTTACTCCTAGCTTACTGCTTTCTGCTTACTACTCCAATATTGGACACCCCATATATATACTACCTCCGTCCCTAATTGTTGTTCCAAAATAAAGTGGCACACAGATTAAGAAAGTGGGAATTGTGTGGTGGAGAGTTGTGCAGAGGAGAGAGAAATGTTGTGAACCACAAATTCTTTGTCAAAAAAGGAAAGTAAACTTCCTTTTGGGACATCCCAAAAAGGAAATTTGGAACAACAATCCGGGACAGAGGAAGTATATACATAGTCCGTAGGGGTGAATGTGTGATTGTGTGATTCAAGGAAATAGCTAGGGTGGGGCCGTGGTGGGCCCTCTGAATTAGGAAAATTCTTTATTCAATAATTGATCCTTATTGGCGGATTGCCTTTTTTAAATGGGCCACTTCTTGGCATACGTCACATATGTGTACTATTTCTAAATTCGTTATCTTTTATTCTTTTAGGGGAAGGGCAAAGTTTTTAGGGTCCGTTTGGTTGGGGTGATCTCACATAAAGGTTGGAACGTGATGCACGTAATGTTAGATAACCTTGTTTGGTTCACGAGTTTGAAAAAAAATCAGAAATGTATACAACAAATAGTCTCTTTGTCAAAAGCAAAGCGATCATAGGGTCCCATATTCTTTGCAACATAAATAGACTTTCAATACCTTTAGGTATAAAAGTTTGAGTCGAGACCACGACTTGAATAATTATAAAAATACAAAGAAACCAAATCAGATCAGACCGGTTCAGACCAGACCAGATCAGCAAATTACAGTCCAAGTAAAAATATCCTTAGAAAATACTCCATATTCAACACATAAATTCACATGTAAAATAAAAGATATTGACTCTTGAATAAATTCGGTGCATAACTTCACAAAACTTTCAAAAAAAAACTTTACAAAAAAATTAGGGGCCAGACTGTAGAATAACTAGTAAATCGAAGCAACCGAAACATTATGACTCGGTTTCGTTACAACATTTAAATACTTATTTATTTAATGGTTCCAATTCAGTTCCTATTTTATTGACGGTTCAGTTATCAATTCCTAAGAAAATTAATGTGTGTATGGAACTATTGATGAACCGGTATAAAATACTCCGTAATTAACTTTTTAATAACTACTAGTATTACACCCGTGCGATGCACGGGGCAAAAGTGTTGTTGTATATTATCTATAGTGTAAGATAAGGTAGTTAAAGGCAAAAGTGTTGTTATATATTATCTGTCCCGTTGAAAAGTCGTAATGACAAAATGAAACGATTATTTAGATATTCATGAAATAATTAAGGTAGTTTAAATATATTTAGAAAAATAATTTTAATAGGATATAGTATAATGGGGTTAGTGATGATAACAGTGACGGTATACATATATTATTTTTAATATTTAATAATTAATTTGTCATTTATGATTGTTAATTGTTTTCAAAAATGAAAAGAAGAACATTTATATGGGACGCCCAAAAACAAAAAGTGAGAGAACCTTTCTACAGACGGGGCAGTATATATTAGAATATTTATGTAGAATAATTCAAATAACAATGAAATACTATATAATAAATTAAAGTTGTTATACTCGATGCATTTCTAAAACAAAAAATATTACTCCGTACAACGTAGAAGGCATCAAACAATATGAAAAACTTTTTGAAATACGACTTGGAAGTATTCATGTGATCAATATCTTTATCTTTTCACGCTTAGTTACTCGGAGAAAACGATTGACCTTCATTTTTGTTGTTCGTTGCATATGAAAATCATGTCAAATTATATTATAATGTTCAGTACAAATAAAAAATAACTTTATTAGTTATTGTAGGAATGAAATTATACTCCGTATTTTGAAATATTATGAGAGTATTTCAAATGCTTACCTAATACTCCCTCCGTCCCTAATAACTTTGCCAAATTTGACCGGCACGGAGATTAATAAAATAAAAATTGTGTGGTTGAGGTTTGTGCAGAGGAGAGAGAATTAATTGGAACCAAGTATTCTTTACTAAAATGGAAAGTTGTCAAAGTTATAAGGGACGGGGGAGTATTACTGTTAATTGATTAATACTACGTATGAATAATAATTACTTTTTAAATTAATTTTTTGCGTGAATATAAATATTTGTTATTATTACTGTATTAGGGAGTGCTTGCAACTGCTTCTGCTTAAAGAGCAATTTTCGAGTGATTGGGAAAAAGTGATAAGTAGTAAAAGTTGATAGTGTTTGAAAAAAAAGTAATTTTGAAAAGTAAAAGTTGACAGTGTTTGGTAAAATAAGTGTTTTTTGTGTAATATAATAGAGAAAAACACTTTTCATATGCAAGCAGAGAAAAATTAAAAATTGGTAGTGTTTGGTAAATAAGTGTTTTTTAAGCCAAAAGCTGAGAAGTACGAAGTACTTTTTTTAAGTTATTGCAAACACTCCCTTTAGCATCTTGCCTCAGCAACGCATGAGAATTGATTTGATTCTCCTTTTGACATCTGCAGTGAAAATTTCATTTTATTTTATGATCGCCCATTGAGTAACACATTTACAAAATATGGCAAATTTGAAATACATAAAAACATATTATACATGGAGTTACATAATCGAGTAGTCTCATGACCCGTGTGCTACATGGAGTTAGGAGTGACAACAAAATTCCTCAAGATGTAAATTAAACATTCCCTTATTCTTTTATCTGTTCCTTGAATGCTCCAAGCCTTTCCCGACGAATCGTGGCATGAACCCTGTTGCCCTGCATAAATAAAAAGTGAGTCAATTTGTCTCAGAATTAAAAAATGAAGTGGATTTAAATGACTAAGATCAATTACATCTTGATCATGAAACACACATTTTAGAGTGTTGATCACATTTACATTTTTGTTAGTGAAAATTGGGACTGCATATGAACGCACCAGTCTGACTCGAGTGCCCAGTTGGTCTTTGAGGTGTTGCTCTTGAATTCCGTTGAACATCATCTTCAACCTAGGGCAGATTGTGGTGGAGGAAAGCGTTTAAGCAGCTTTAGTTGCTGATGACCCTCTTCAACCCTCTGCAACTTAGCAGTCGAATAAAATTCACAATTTCTCTAAAAATTATCGGAGTTACGTAATTGACAGAAGGTGAGAAATATATTGCGGTCCCTGCGCTTGAGTTTAATAGTTTAAGCTCTTCTGTAATGCAGGATATTTATATTGGATATTGGTGCGGTTGGGGAAAACTGCCATAGTCATGCTATAATGTCGTGCAATCGTGATGCAATTTGCCCACTACTGGATTTGAAAAGCAGTGGAGTTTTGCCACGTGTTTGAATCTGGAAAATGCAAGGATTGTGGATCGTGATTCTTCTGTGTTGTTTTAAATTTCATCATCTTTTGACACGTGTAGTAATCTAGTGGCCAGAATCCTTCACTTTCTTCTCACGATTCTGCTTTTATATATATAAAGATTTACGGATTACTTATGAGTATATATTTTAATATTTACCTACTTACAATTTTTCTACTAAATTCACTAATTGTCTATTTAATTTAATTGATAAGTATTTACCCAGTCACCTAATTGTTAAACGCTCTCAGATAGTTAGACTAATATATTTATATATTATTTACACAATATTTATTTACCTATCTTGTCAGATGCTCATACTCACAGACGGATCCGGAGCCTCTGCAATACTTCAAAGCAAGGCACCGTGCCTGGCTTTCGGGAACCACCCGATCAAAAAGTGGACGGTCGGAGATTTCAAAGCACAGATCCCGAGGCCTTCTCTTCTCCATCGGACGGACCCCTGCGCGCAAGGCACTCTGCCGTGCGGCAGAGGATCCGATTCCCTCACAGGCACACAGTATATATAGCCTAGCTAAAAATTAAATACGAAGTAATTAATTATATAATATTTGTTCATACAAATAAATAATAATACTCCGTACTTGTATATACTCCCTCCGTTCTTTTTTATTAGTCCTTCTTTCCTTTTTGGGACATTTTTTTATTTGTCTCCTTTCCCTTTAAGGAAAGTTTTTGAGAAAATACCCCCACTTTTATTACTTTTACCCCACTTACTTTTTACAAACTATTTTCTCTTTCCTACTTTACCATCACTTTACTCTTCTTAATACACTCTCTTTCCTACTTTATCATCATTTTACTCTTTTAATATACTGTCTTTCCTACTTTATCATTTACCCTACACACTCTATACTTACCTTACTACTTTATTATTAAAACTCATGCCAAACCCTAAGGAGACTAATAAAAAAGAACGGAGGGAGTAACATTTTTGCTTTATCATTTCCACTTTTTACCATTAAAAAAATCATTTCCATTATTATTTAACTATCAATTTAAATTTAATATACACACATCGGGTCCCGTTCCTGACAGGAGCTCCTGACTGGAACCCCGTGCGGACAAAACCATCAGAGGGGCTTACTGATGGAATTTTTTATAAATTCTTTTTTGAGCATGTTGTCCCTCAAGTTTAGTTTATGCATACCAAATTTCAACTCCAAATTCAATCGAGAAAGTAGTTAAACAAATTCTTGAAACATAGTTTGCTTTTTTTTTTCCGCTTTATATATGTACAAAATGCGTAGTATGTTTCCAGAATTTATTTAACTGGCTTCCCGATCGAACTCTGAGCTAAAATTTGATATGCATAAACTAGACTTGATGAGAAACATGCTAAAAAAATTCATCAAAAACGGTTTAATGCAAAGTGCACTAGATAGAGGTTTTTGTGCATCAGAAATTCTGATTTAAAAAAGGGTTCTCATTTTAAAAGGGGTTCTCACTAGAACCCTCCCATACACACACACACACACACACACTAGCGTGGGTGCGTGCGTTGCGCAACGGTAGGTGCCCAACGCTCAATAAAATCAAAAAGCTGCATTGCATAAAAAAGGTGCACAAAGACACCACAAGTAAGTCAAAAGCAGTTCAATGTCACCATTACAACAATGTGGGGAATTGACATTGCACTTAGAATGTTTGGGAAACAAATGAATCAAAACAGCATACAAATGCAGTGAGGGCATGGCGGTTTGTTTAACATTGTTGTTAAAATTCTAGGTCAAAAAGCTTTAGCAAAACATCATAGTAAGAGGGACAACATAGCAGCAGTTTGGACTGAAATCAAGGAGGGCCAACAACATCACTGCGGGCAGCACTCCGTATCTCATACACATGTGGCTTGCTCGGCAGCTTCTCCGTATCTCATACACATGCGGCTTGCTCGGCAGCTTCTCCACCCCGCACGATGAAATCACGAGTAGTAGTGCTTCACCCCTGCCATGCCTAAGGAAGAAGAGAGTGGAATGCCGCTTCAGCTCGAAAGTCATCTGAAGCTGGTGCAGGATGGATTGTTTCCCAATCACAAAGTAACCATCATCATCGCCATAGAAGATCCGCACACGGTTCCTCATATCGCTGATGACATCAAGAAACCTTCACAGGCTCACAGCATTGCTGCATTGAGATACAAAAAGTTAGTGCAATTAACGTGGTAAAAGAATGGCAAGTTGGTGCAAGATTTTGTATAAAGCATGGGAAAACAAGATCATGAAATATGGAAAATCTTTGCAATGATCATTTAAGGATGGCAGCAATGGCAATCAGTTTATATATTTCCCAGTTGATGTTTTTGTGCTCGCTGCAGTTCGTCATTTACTAAGTGAAGTGTTTTCTCTAACAAAGGAAACAAAGAAGCATAAAGAATGATATACCAAACACCAATGAATGTTCTTTCAAAAAAAATACCAATGAATGTAAAACATCACACACCTTACTTGTTTCTTTGGGAACATAGAGAAAGGATGGATAACAATACAACTTCCTGTATGAATAATCTTTGAAAGAACACTCCACATACACAAGGAAGTCATCTGCAATTCAAAAAAATAGAGATTAGGAAGTTGTGCAAGGGAGAACTAACAATAACATACACCAGATAAACTGCACATAAGTCTGAGTAGGCAGAAAAAGAAAGATGGGTGAATGATGTGTCTAGCATTAAACAAAAAGCACAATGAATGTACCTGGAGAATGCAATGTATTTGAAACACCAGTGGGTTTTCCAGCCAGGTTCAGAGAGAAGCCTTGCCTGTCAAACATCAACACTTCAAAAGTGAAGTTACCCACGTGCCTGAGGAGAGCATATGCGCCGAATTCAATATTATTTTGTATAAACAGTTCAACAAAGCCCTCAGAGAAAGAGCAATCATCGACTTTGACATTCCATGAGGTGGTTCCATATAGAAGGCGAGCATAGGGGCAGATATGCTCAAACAGATGCATATGCATGCAGGGAGGAATTTTCTGGACAACAATGTGAAAAAAGAACAGCAACATGAATGTCCACAGTTTTGAATAAAAATAAATAGGAGGGAATCAGTAAATGCTAAGCAGGGAGCGTACAACAAGTTCAATACCAGGGATGTTCAGTTGTAACCAAACAATAGTGAATTGTTGCACGTCCGGAAAATGAAATGTACCAGTTTTCAGGCAGGCTGTGTATTTGAACAATAACAGGTATAAGAGCAAGTATGATCAAAACACCTTAACAAGTCTAGTTTTTAAAAACGGAGGAAATGGTACGCATAAGGTGGGTGGGGGGCAAACAAATGGCCAAGTTTGTGCTCAAGTGCTGCTTCGTTCGTGAAGTTATTTGGCAGTAGCCTGTAGCAGCCCGAAGCTTGCAAGAACTACTTCCAATCGTCACTTGACTCACAACTGTCCTCACCCGTGCTTGTCTGTGTAACAATAGCAACCTTAATCTTTCTCCCATGTACGTTCTTAATGAAGTATGTAAAAGTCTCAGTGCGAGGGTGATGCTCTGCTCTTTCAATGGCACATGTGCTGAACAAATCCATAAAGGTTGTAAACAATAAACAAATGAGTACAATTAATCCATGCACATGAGTTGGGAAATGAAATCAAGAACCGCAGGGCAAACTGAAACACAAGCGCACTTTTGATATAAACATGTTTTAAACATTGCTGAAAAGAGAGGCAAAGGTATATCACCACACAACAAGGCATGGAGTGATACTGTTGTGGAGAACTTACCTGTCTCGCTGGGGTGCAGTAGAAAGAGCGATGAACTCCGTCGGTCACGAGAGGCGACGTTCCACGGGGCAGCGGGAGTGAAGAGGCAGAGAGATAATGAGGGATGTTGGCAGTTGATACGGCCCTATGAATGAGAAGGGGCGGCAGGCTGATGACCATTAATTAATGATCCTATTTTTTTTTTTCAAAAAGCAAATAATGGGAATGAATTGAGATCCCATTATTCATCTAGGTGACCAGATTATAATTTGTGCCTAATTAAATTTAAGCACCATGGGTCAATTGAGTAAGGGATAAATAATTTGAGAATGAATAAGAAAGTTGGCTGATTGGCTGTATAAGGAGGATTGAGTAGTATGTAAAGTGAACAATTTCGCTTTATCTGCTTGATTGGGATGCCAATTTTTAATTATAATCTAATTTGGAGTTTACAACTTTGAAGAAATGTGAATGTAGTTCATGAACATGTAAATTTTAATTATTAAAAATTGAATCAGTTATCAATAGGGAGGATTGACTTTTATTTTTGGTCGGTCGAAAAATGTTGTCTTTGTAAAACAAATTAGATGGATGGAGTATAAAAACACTGTGTAAGTTTTTTTTCAATTGCTATATGTTTACTTTTTGCACGTATCAAAATGTTCAATATTTCATGAAAATAATCCTTTACAAAAATTAGACTGGATTCAATGTATTTCAAAGGTTGAGTATTGGTGTTTGAATCTTTCCCATCTATAAAGATTAAGATATAATTAAGCCCTAAACTCAATTTACGAAACAAGACCATATGCTGGAAATGTTAATATTCTAAGCATTATAAATGCAAAATGAAAAGAACACACAACATTGGAATAACAGGTGCTCTAAAAGTGAGCTAAACTGACTGCATAGTGATATTATGTACGACAGACTTCATCAAACATGCAAAATAGCGTTGAGTAGTTTAGTTTGTAGTAACACAAATGCATAATGCGGCAGCAAGTAAAGTCATTCGATGACGCATAATTCCTACAAATGATACAAAAAGCTACAGTTTGAGCAAAACAACACGGACTGCGTAAAGTTTCATCAGTGTCCTGGGTACTACATACACAGATATAATTACATGATCAGAGTGGTATCCTCGTGACAACAAAAGCATGCATGGGGTGCGCTTCAAGGGTTGCTGTTCCTGCGTCTTTTTTCACGCATGTTGACCAGCAACTCATCTAAATCACCTTCATTGGGTACTGGCTGTTTAGAAGGTAGGTCAGCCTGGTCGGGGGTGGGGGGTGGGGCATTTAGTGACTTAAAGCTCAGCTTCCTCTTTGTTTGAGCAGCGATGGCGCACACTGGGGCAGCAACTGGAGGTGCAGCATGCGATGAACCACTCGATGCGGCAGAAGCTTGGGAGACACATACAATAATGTAAGGATTGCCTTGAAGTCCCTCCTCATTAGATTTGGTACGCTTCACGCCAGCCACAACGGTCAGCGCCTGAAGTTTTGCATCTAAGGTTTCCAAGTCGATGTCTGCATCAGGATCCATGCATGCATATTCAAAGAGATCCAGCACATCATTGGTGAAAAGGGTCACAGGGGATGGACATAGTAGCATCAATCAGGGAAGCATCAAGCCGAAATCTGTTCAAAGCGTGAATCATTAGTATTAGTAGGGAAGAGTTTGTTGTGTGTGTGTACGATGGCACTTACCGTCTAAAAGTTGTCCCAAGTTTCTGACCGGTAGAATAGGCACTGAAAAGTGATTCCATCAGAACCGTACACTTTGCAGTTGCAATTATTACAACCAACATAGAAGCACTCTTCTGAGGTGTCAGTTAAAGTAAACTTGTCGGCCACTCACACAACGGGAAACTGGAGGCATAAAACAGCAAAGGAGAGCAATGGTCAAAATGAACAGTCCACAATGCTGAAAGGGGTGGAGATGCTCTGTTTGTTAAGAAAATGCATAGGTCAAAGGGGCACACCTCATTTAAGCCATCTTCTAAACCTAAAAGGGCAATCTGTGGCTTTGAAAGAGGCTTGGCAATAACGGTGAGAGCATCATCATACATCTTTTCCTGCAGCAATGCAACCACATTTTCTGCATTTTCACGAATCCTGAAGCAATGGCAATATAAGTGTTCAACCCACAGAAAGCCAATGTTTAATACATTTATGAAGGAGTACGGGGGGGGGGGGGGGCATGTGCACTTACCACTGCTTCAACAACTGAGCGCGTTCACCATCAGGGTTAAGTTCCATCTGGCAGCCAAACCGAGTGGATAGCGACAGACCTGCAAATGAATGAAACTATACAGTTCGTATTTCAACACTGACACTGACACCATTTACAAAGACACTGACAGAAGTGATGGAGAGAAGGGAGGTGATAAGTTCGTATTTCAACACGCATTTGATGCGTGCTGGGATTGACTTTTGATGGTTTTCCTAGCTTTTAGGTGTCACAAGTGTCAAATTTAGCTCAAGTTATGTTTTCCAGGCGTTACGTTGGTTCGAGTTTTGTGTTATTTGGAGTCAAAATCGGGAATTTAGAGTCCGGCAACGGCGCTTGAGAAGAAATCGAGAAGAGTTGATGAGCATTCAAGAGAGATTCAAGAGTTTTGGAGGCCACCGGGAGGTTTACGACGAAGTTTTGATGAAGAAAGGGCCTTTGGATCAATTACGGATGCATCCGGGAATATTCGGAGCAAGAAAACGAAGAAAAATGACTAAGACAGACCATGCACGTGTAACACCGTGGCCCCGCAGGACCCGGGGTAGTTACTCCACACACCATCCAGACCTCTAGTACCATCCTCACAAACCGTCACTAGCCTTCTCGGCGCATTTTGTCCTCACTTGTGAGTGCCCTAAGAAACTACCCAGGGGGTCACCCATCCCAAGACTACTCCTGTGTAAGCACGCTTAACTTTGGAGTTCTTGGGTGATGATCTCCCTTAAAAGGAGATGCATCTTATTGGTATGCGTAGTACTATTAATCCGTTTAAATTAAATCTCAATTATTACAATCACCCCCACTTAGGAACACAACTTCCCTTTTCCGTACACTTTGTCCTCACTTGTGAGTGCCCTGAGAAACTTCCCGGGGGTCACCCATCCCAAGACTACTCCCATGCAAGCACGCTTAACTTTGGAGTTCTTAGGTGATGGGCTCTCTTAAAAGGAGATGCATCTTGTTAGTATGAGTAGTACTATTAATCCGTTTAAATTAAATCTCAAGTATTACAGCACGACCGTGCCTGGGTGTAGGCACAACCATGCATGGGTGTAGGCACGACCGTGCCTGAAGAAGAAGAAAGCACCGCGAAGCTACTGCCATGCACACACGATCGTGCGTGCCAGGGAGGCACGATCGTGCGTAAGTATGAGACGCGCGATACTCCATAGGCATCATGCCTGTCTCCAGAAATCATAGTTTGAGCTGAATTTCTCTGTTTTCTATAAATAAGACCTCCATAACCCTTTTCAGGGGTTACAAACATTACGGAGAGGCCTAGGGACGAATTCATCTGCGTTTTTCCGTTGTTTTCTTCAAGACTCTGAGATTATTTGTAAGTTCAATCTTTTTAATTAATAACAATTAATTCTATTCATCCTAATTCTATTGATTCTTCAATAATGAGTTGTGAGTAGTTTAATTAGGGATTTGGGATTGATGAAGGGGTTGATCATGATATGTGGCTAGTTTCTTGATGAATTAATTGCATGAATGCCGTTTAATTTGTGTTTGAATAATTTAACTGATATCTCTTGTAACCTAGAACGACCGCTAGAATTACAATTGCTTGTAGAATAAATTAAGAGAGATCTAGTTTATTCTAGGACACATTCACACACACTTAATCGTTCACTAAGAGATTAGTAGCGATTAAGGGGCCGTAAGCTCGCTCGTCTTGGCAATAATTTAGGATCCTGTCACATGAGAGATCAGTCTGGTCCCCTAAATTATTGTACTCTACGCCGCGAGAGCGGTAAGAACTTAGTAATGATTAACTAGGCTCGATTAAATCAATTTCATGTAATTAGGCCTGATCTGCTAGAAATCTAGTTACCCCGAAATCAATCCATGTTCCCTTCGTCATTAATTAGAGAGATCTCATTTATTTAATCGCTCATTCGCATTAGTTTAATTTTCATACCAATCATATCTCGCACGACACATTTTTATTTATTTATTTTTAATCGCTGAATTTAATTAATTCGTATTTCCCTTTTGTCTGTCCCTGTGGAGACGATACTCGTACTTTCCCACTATTCTACAATCTTTTTAAGAGCGAAAAAACTCACATCAGTTTTTGGCGCCGTTGCCGGGGACGGTGTCGGATTTGAGGGTTAATTAGAATCAGCGACTTGCATTTTAGTTTTTCGTAGAATTTTTGTCTACTAACCCTACAGGTCAGATCAGTTTATGCATACTCGTTCAATCCTGAGATTGAGTAGCTTGCTAGACAGATCCACAAAATACCTCACCCCAGTCTTCACCGCCTATTTCACCTAGAAACCCCCCTGGATTTCAGAATTTCTGTACTTCATTCTTTCCAAAAAAAATCAGTGCACTCCACAAATAAATCTTCTCACTTTATTCTAACTCTTTCAAAATATCTCTACTGCTCCTGGAACTACTTTTCAAAACCAATCCTATGGTATGCAAGGAGCAGGGAAAAATATTCCGGCGTTTCAACTGAGACAGAACCGCCCCCAGTCACCCAAAATCCATTCCAAACTCAACCACAAAATCAACCGTTTCAAAATCCTTTCCAGAATCAAAACCAGTACCGTCGGCCCCAAGTATAGCCCCAACCGCAATCGCAAATTGTTCGACCGCAACCAATTCTTCAGCCTAGACAACAGGCCCCTCCGTTCAATGCTAATGCTTATATCCCGCATGAAACCCGCTCCACCAGGGACAAACCATTGCAGAGTTCCTTACTCCCGATGTTTCAGAGTATGACAGCATTCAAGTGCCGGGTGTCGCCGGGTGTTATCATCTTTATTTGAAAACGTCATAATTACAGCGGAAGTCTTAAAATGGAAATGGGTGTTACCGCCACATCCGGTCATCTCTTAACCGGATGCACATGCAATCCCAAAACAAAACAAAGTAAAACAAGTGCTCTAGATAATTGAATTGTTTATTCTTGACTATGTTTGACTAAGACATATCTCAACCGCTCTCAAGACCATGCAATCATCAGTCAACATAATCATTACCTCCATCAATAAAGTGCAGAAAACAAAGCAAAAGGAAACAAAAATTAGCTTTAGAGCTAAGTAAGTACTACCCAACCCCGTAAAATAATCAGGTTTGTCAAAGTAGTTTTTATAGATAACTAACTTTCAAAATTCCATTTTCTTCCCACAAAACTACTTTTTAAAATAAAATTTATAAATTCTAAATAACTCACACCTTCATATAAAAGTATCACTTTTCAAAAATAACTTTATAGCTAATCACTCTTTCTAAATATACTCAACTTCTCTTTAAAAATAATCTTCATAGTCCTCTTTCCGAAATCAATATCACTGTATCTCCTACTTTCTTTTAAGATGGGCGGTACTTTCGGATACTTATGCCCGGAGCCCAATGAGTCGTTGTTATTTACGAACTCATCCCGGAATCTGGTTCCCATCACTATCTCTTTAATCGAAACGACTACTAAACTTGTTCTCTTCAAGTTGTAGTAGCCCTAACCATCCTCCACATTTATCCGGATGTGAAAAACCGACACCACGGATTTCTCCCGGGGTGCTCACCTCTTATGAAAATGTTAATTTTCATCTTGAATCAAGCAAGATATACTTCAAAATAACAGAAGATGAATGGACTCCTATTTTCATTTTCTAATTCTAAAATATAAGAACATGATCAAATAATATTATAATAAACATAAGAAAACAAATCAAATTGAACTAAATTAAACCTAATATTTTTCACTTTGGTAAACCGAACTTTAAACCTAACCGAACCGAAACCGAACCGAAACCAAACCGAAACACAAATGGTTTTAGTTTGGTACAAATTCTCCAAACCCGAATAAAACAAAACCGGACCGAAACCGAATAAAACCGAACCGTAAACCGATTCGCCCACCCCTAGTAAAAAATATGTGACTAAAACTTACTAATCAAACATCTATGCACAAAAAAGTGATTATAAATTACTAGGTGCAAGTTTTATATTAATCATGTAAAATTTGAATGCAATTATGGTCACTAAAATATGTCCGCTACTTTTATTATGATTATTATATATTTGAAATTATTTCATAAAATATTTTCATGTCTTAGTATCACTTTGTTTATTCTTTCTTGTCTATGGGGGTACTGGTCAACACTGCCAACCAAAAATTATCACTATTTTATTCTCAAAATAGAACGCATTCACTCGGTCCTATATTAAGCAATTTTGAAAAGTAAAAATGGTAATGGTAATAAAAGTGAAGGCATAAATGTATTTTGGTTTAAAAAAACTTACTAAAAGAGATAGGGACAAATAATAAAAAAACATTCCAAAAAGGAATTCGAGATTAATAGAGAACGGAGGGAATACTTAATTAGCATTCAATTTTCTGTTATATTATAATTTGGATTTTATGTTGTTTTACTCATGCAGAGCTTTTATTGCGAATACCTAATTTTAACTAGAAAAATGGTTTAATTATCTTTGGGGGAGGCGTTACTTAAACATCATTCACCAATTATACAATGGTGGAAGTACTCTACTATAACAATTATAACGGACACCTATTTTTAATAGCTTGTCTGCTGTTATGATCTTTTACCCGTTTCCTAAGCAGGCCTCCCAGAACTGAGAAAAGTGCAATAAAAGCTATTTCCATGTGCTCGCAACTGCTTGTCTTAATGCAAACCTTCCCCATCATCTGGTTGCTCATATTAGCCCCAACAGAAACGTTCATTCCCCGACTCAACCTGAAGTCCATGAGCAACTCTCCGCTCAACATGGTCTCTCTATTCAACGAGAGGACCGTTGTCGTAAAACTCACACTCTCATTCCTTACAGGGTAGTCTTTCCCTCTCAAAGTGGCTCCAAAACTACCCCCATAAGCCGCTCGCCCGGCACCCGCCATCCGCCCGCCCTTCACAGTCAACCTCAACCTCTTCCCGACACGCAAGCAGTCCTCGACCTTAGTGCCCAGAAAGTAATTTCTGCCAAAAGAATTCAGAGAAACTCCACATTCCGTGATGTTACACTTGAGATTCTTGGCTTGTGCATTGCTGTGTACAGAACAAATCAATTCTTGACCGGTGGATTGAACATCAAGACCCACGATAGTACAAACCGACCCACCGGGATTCGTATAGGCAGCAGTGCACTTTGATTGAATGCTTAAGTCTTGTTTGTCCTTGCTCATTTGCCCCGTGGCAGATGCTAAAACATTGCGGACAACTTTTCCAGCCATATCGAAATTGATCCCATCAAAGCTCACGTCATGGTCCCACCCATGCGGGTCAAGAACCGGTCTAGCAACCCATTGTTCACTAATAGTAGTGAGACACCTGTATCTATGTGCGGGCCAATCCGAGGTGAAACTAGGAGGGATATCCATATCGGGCAGAGCAACAAGTTCTGCCCGTTCTGCCTGTCCATCCAGAGAGCTCCACGACTCTTCCTTCATCTGTTTTTTCAAATATAGGGTTTCCCTGAAATCCAGCTCGTCAAGATAATCTTTCTTTTCCTGAGGACTTAATTTATCATACTGAGCTTTAGTCAGAACCCTAATAGGAGGCAATTCATCATACTCGCCCTCTTCATAATCTAAATCTTCAGTTTCATCATGCGTTCCTTGAGCACGATGTTTAAGAAAAGATGAAAGAAGATGGGGGAGTGAAGGCAAACGAGCGGCTTTAGAAGGGCCCAATTTTATACCATCTTCAAAGCCCAACACAGTATTAACATCGCCAAGAACTTTGGTACATATGCACGTTAAAAAGAATTGGACCATCCAAACGTGTCCATTCGGCAGAATCTTCTCTCCAGAATCATTGGTCTTGCAGTTAGAATGGTTCTCCACCATAACCACTGGATTTTGGAGTTTCTGGTCGGAAACTACCAGGTGGATGTGATGTTGAAGAAGAGCGGTGCAGTGGGCAGTGTACGACTCAAAAGTAACCGGGTACCCATGAGGACCTTCAGGCAGAGGGGAGGCAGAATGGGTCATCACGAGGATGGCGTTGAACCAAATTGAAATGCCAAATACTTCAGTCATGAGTTTCAGTAAAGGGAAATCACTATAATAATCCATGTTGTCCATCAAATCAAGCCGTTCAAAATATAAAACCATATCTGGAGGGTTCTTTCTTATGTATTTCTTCACCTTGTTCAAAATTTTCCGGTTTAATCGGGTATTTCTTGGAGATGAAGGCAACAGGCCAGGGGTATCAATGAAAGAAATTTTGACGCCCTTCATGGTCCCAGTGATTTCGTAGACGTGATTTGTCTCAGGATGAAATGCATTTGTCGTGGCCTTACTTTGACCAAATATAGAATTTATTGTTGAACTCTTCCCAACCCCGGTTCTCCCTGTAAAGTATGACCAAATAATAGTTATCTCTCTCTTGGTATGCTTCGAATGCGAAAAATGATAAAGAAAGGTAAAAAATACTAAAAATATACTCCATATCAAGGGAAAATAAAATTGGACCATATTTTGTACATCATATATGGAGTATATATAGCTACTAGTCTTTATATAATTTAACTAATCTTTACCTAGTAAAAGCACTTTAAAGGAGAACCCCAGTTCAGGCTGACAGAAAGCCGCCTCCCGTTCTGCTGCTATCTCTCTCACTTTCCCAATTTGAAGATTGAATCTTTTCAAATCAGATTCCCTTGCCCGAATCATTTTGGCAAGGTGAGCCCGGTATAAGACCTTCGACACCATGATATCGTCTTCTGGTAACCCAAAACGATGAAGAACACGCAAAAACTCGATTTCAAGATTTTCAATTCTAGCTATTGGATTTTTCTCAATAATGCCATTACTAGTCTGCTGATTAGAAGTTTCATTGATGCGTTGATGTGAAGGACGCAACTGGTTATGGTTTTCTGGATTATTATTGTTGGAAGAGCATGAAGTGTCAGGGTATGCTGGTAACATAACCGAAGTAGCTGAAAATACGAAAAAGATAGTACTCAATTAAAAGATGACACATCATCATTACACAGCACATATTATAAAAGCTAGAAATCACAGTCAGTCAAAGTCAGTTTTTAGGTGTTGTAAGCTGTTTCAAAATTACTTGGTACATTATTGGTACAAGAACTCTTTATGAGCAAAAGCAGCATTTATTTTCAAGCTCATGCAGAGATCAGCTGACTCCAATTTCCTTGTGTCAAAGGATTTTGACACAGGCCAACAAAGAAGTGCCTTAGTCTAAGGTTATTGTTGTGGTAGTGCGGCTTGGTGCCTTACTGCCATGTTTGCACCACTTTGTGTGGTGGTTGTGGACATGGACACTGGACAAATTTTCACTATACTGCCTCCATAGCAGCATGATGTCTCCCATGAGTTGCTTTTAGTTCGCTATACATTCAAGTTTTCTTTTAGTTTTTGTGTATTAACTCAACACAAATATCTAAGACAATTCACTTTTTTGGGGTAGCAAAACGTTCCCTTTAGTCTTTACTAAAATGAAAATCAATTGTCTGTGCACAGACAAAATACACTCAGCGTGTAAGCCGGTGTGTACAAGTAGCATTTTTGAAAGATTTATTTGTTAGTTTAAATAAATGATTCATATTTTAATTTTTTGAATAATATTGTTGGAAAATTATTTTCCATCATTTGCAATGGAGCCAAAGACTCACTATTTTTTGGCTGGGGAATATGATGGAATAAAGCAAAATGGTTTACTAAACTGTTTGCGCTTCTTTGTTATGAAGCAGCATCAGTCTATGCAATTTTCAACGCAATTTTCAACGCAATTTTCACTGTGGATCATCCGGAAACAGTCTCTTTGTGCTTTTTAATACTCCCTCCGGTTCTAAATAAACTTCACACTTTCCTTTTTGGGACGGTCCAAAATAAACTTCACACTTCCTTATTTCCTTATTTGGCAAAGATATCTACATCAAAACAGTGTTAAACAGTGCCAAACAGTGTCTCAACAGTGCCAAACAGTGTCTCAACAGTGCCAAACAGTGCCAAACAGTGTACTCTACAGTAAAGTCAACTTTATTTCCTTAATAACTGTGAAGTCAAACACTGAAGTTTAAAAAGAACCGGAGGGAGTACAAGGGTAAGACTACGTACATCCGAAGGTGTGGGAGCCTTTGCGGCACCGGAGTAATGATGATGATGATGATTATTATTGGAAAATTACATGAAAAGTTGGCTGAATTTGATGAAATAAGACTCTTTTTTAGACCAAAAGATTTGAAACAAGTACAAGTTTTTAGCAGAGAGTTTCAATAGGAAAAAATTGTCAGTTGTCACAATTGCATAAGTACTCAACACGCAAACTAGCAACCATTAGAATGGGCAGACTCAGCTACGTAGACTAGACACACTATGTAAATTCAGGTTTCAGAAAATATTGAAGGAAAAAGAGTGAAAGATACTGCCCCCATCCCAAAATAAGGTTCCTGGCTTGACATGATACGTTTCTTAAGAAGTAAAGTTGTGCAGTTGAGATTTATTTGTAAAGAAATAATAATGAACCACAAATTTGTAATGGAAACAGGAAAACCTTATTCTGGGATGGGCATAGAAGGAAAATAAGAACCTTATTTTAGAATGGAGGGAGTAATAATAATATACTACTCCGTATGTGCTTTTAGTTGATCACTAAGATAAGAGACTATACCTCGGGTGTCATACTCTTCATGTGGCCTTTCCCGTGACAAAATACTTTCTGATGCTGGTTCTGCTAGGGTCCTGGACACTAATTGAGATAAGACCCAATCCTTGAAGCTCAACATACCTGCCTTTGTAAATAGTAAATGAAAAAAGAACAAGGAACAACAAGATTATATTAATTAAGATCTTAATTGCAACTTGCAAGTATTGAAAACAGGAACCATATGAAAGTACATTATGGGGTAAGCATTGAATAATCTGTACAGCTTTAATAGGCAGTCCTATAACAAACAGTGGAGATATTGACACATTGTGTTCAATATTTAACTACCCACAATTAAAACTAAAAGATTGAGTGATTTAAAGCTCACGAAACAGCTCTGCATTTACAGCATTACATTGGGACTGTAAAATAAGATAAGCAAATTACTGAGTCCAAGTTATTTGGGCATCTCTCATTAGATTAGAGAAAGAGGAAAAGTGTGACAGGGACATATTGTTTTAAAAAAC